GCCTCAGGAGGCTAAGGCAGGAGAATCACTTGAACCTGGGAGCCAGAGGCTGCAGTGAGCCAGCCTGGGTGACAAGAGCAAGACTCCATCTTAAAAAAAAAAGGTGGGGTGAAGAATGCCAGGGACCTCCCTGTCCATTTTCTGCAACTTCCGGTAAGGCTACAATTATTTCAAACTCAAGATTCTAAAGCTGGGACTAAATAAAAGGGCTAGAATTTTTTGAATACCAATTTTAAAAAGAAACAGTTTATTCACTCCCATCCACTGAACTCATCTTGACCAAATACAGTGCCCCGAGTTGAAGTCCATCAGATAGGATGAAGTTAATTTTAGTAGACATTAAGTTAGTTCAGCACCTGAGCCACAAAAGCTACAGCTCTGAGGGGCATGGCTTAACGTAAGGCAACTTTCCAAATCTTGGAGCACATTCGCTGCTGTCTATTCCAGGAGGAGTGATGCCCCAAGCCAGTCTGCTGGGAGGGATTACTCAGTGAAAACGGAGCGTCCTCAACTGTCTCCACACGCTCCCCATCCACTACCTCAGATGCCTGGCACAGGGTCTTAAAAGGGAAAAACTTTTTTTGAGGCAGGGTTTCAATCTGTTGCTCAGGCTGCCCAGGCTGGAGGGCAGTGGCACAATCCTAGCTCACCGCAGCCTCAACCTCCAGGGCTCAGACAATGTTCTCACCTCAGCCCACCCCTGAGTAACTGGGACCACAGGTGTGTGCCACCACACCTGGCTAATTCTTTTCCTCTTTTGTAAAGACAGGGGTCTCACTATGTTGCCCAGGCTAAAGGAGGAAAACTTAAGGGTCAGAAAGATACAAGGGAGGTGCAAATTTGGAGCTGAAGCAGGCTTTCATGACACCTCAACTTGAAATTCACCCCTTCAAGTGTCAGCTGAGGAAGCTGAGGCTCCGTCGCTAGTGGCTTCCACTCATGCAGCAGGTGAGAGGCGGAGTCAAAGTCAAGAGCCTTGGCTGCCAGCGGAGTCCTCTCTCCACGGGGCCCAACTACTCCTACCATTCACCCTCACAACAGGAAAACAGGACACAAAAGCAGAGCTGGCCAGGGACGGGGAGGCGGGGGCTCCTCCACCTGTGACATGGAGGTCAAGTTCAGATCAGCTCAAACCCTGGCTAGCTCTCCAATCCCATCTCCAGGCACCAGCCCGCATTAATTAATTAAACACATATACATGTTAACTATTTGATGTTCCTCAAATACCTTGGTCTTCGGCCTGAATTGCCCATTGGACAAAACCAGCCCAAGAATCACCTTCGGCGTGAGGTCTTCTCTGGCTTGTTCATGTAAGCATTCACTGAGCACACCTCGCGTGAGACACTCACCATGAGGAGCAGAGGAGGAAAAAGGTGACGAGCGAGACAGGGTCCCCACCTTGCAGAGCCCACCCCAGAGGGCAGCAGGGGATACGGAGCCACGCTGGTGAAAAACAGCACCACAAGCTGAAGACGCTACCCTGAGGAGAACAGAGCCGAAGCTGATGAGAGGCCATCCAACAGCAACACTGGAAAGAAGAATCCCAGAGAGGGGCTATATTAAAGAGACCTGGATGCCCGGATGCAGTGGCTCACACCTATAATCCCAGCACTTTGGGAGGTCGATGCAGGTGGATCATCTGAGGTGAGGAGTTCGAGACCAGCCTTGGCCAACACGGTAAAACCCTGTCTCTACTAAAAGCACAAAAATTAGCCAGGCATGGTGGCATGCACCTGTAGTCCCAGCTACTCGGGAAGCTGAGGCAAGAGAATCACTTGAACCCGAGAGGTGGAGGTTGCAATGAGCCGAGATTGCACCACTGCACTCCAGCCTGGGCGACAGAGCAAGACTCCGTCTCAAAAATAAAAAATAAAGAGACCTGGCTCCCCCAGCTAGGACTAAGCACCCCTTCTTCCACTAGCTCCTTCAGGAGAGGGCCATCTTATTCACCGGGTTACACTCATGGTTCCCAACCGGGACAACTTTGCCCTAAGGGGACATCTGTCAATGCCTGGAGACACTGTTCCTTGTCATAACTGAGGCATCTGGTGCTGCTGTAAACATCCCAGGAGGCACTGAACAGTCCCCCACAATAAAGGATGATCCAGCCCCAAATGTCAGCTCTGCTGAGTTGGAGAAAGTCTGGTCTACACAGTCAAGCATTTAAAAGAGAAGAGCAGCTTCCTCTTATCCAAAGGGATACGTTCCAAGGCCCTCCGTGGATGCCTGACACTTCAGATCACACTAAATCCTATACAGACTGTTTCCCACACGTACCTATGAAAAAGTTTCACGTATAGATTAGGCACAGTAAGAGATTAACAACAGCCAGTAATAAAAGAAAAGTGTAGCCGGGCGCGGTGGCTCAAGCCTGTAATCCCAGCACTTTGGGAGGCCGAGGCGGGTGGATCACGAGGTCAAGAGATCGAGACCATCCTGGTCAACATGGTGAAACCCTGTCTCTACTAAAACTACAAAAAATTAGCTGGGCATGGTGGTGCGTGCCTGTAATCCCATCTACTCAGGAGGCTGAGGCAGGAGAATTGCCTGAACCCAGGAGGCGGAGGTTGCGGTGAGCCGAGATCGCGCCATTGCACTCCAGCCTGGGTAACAAGAGCGAAACTCCGTCTCGGGGGAAAAAAAAAAAAAGTGTAATGATACACGGTGATAAGAGTTGCACGAATGTGGTCTCTTTAAATATCTTACTGTACTGCACTCACCTGTTTTCAGACCACAGTTGACCAGAGGTAACTGATACCTCAGAAGGTGAAACCGCAAATGAGGGAGGCGGCTGTCCTGCGCTCACTGTGCCAGCCCCCTCCTGCCAAACGCAGCCTGGCACAGACCACACGTCCAGCAAGTAGTGACCGCTGTGTGAGGCAATGGCTTTCAATCTCACCGCCCTGCCTCATGTAACCTGCTTCAAAGACGGAAGGACAGACATCACAGCTCATTTAAGGCTGCTAAGCCTTTCTCCAAGGGGTCCCCTTAACAAGTAACACACAGGTTTACAAAACGTGTATCGGTCTCATTACGTAAAGAAGAAAGAGAAAAAATGCTACTTGCAAAAGTGCGGATCTGAGGATGTGTTTCGAAGCCTTTTTCTTTTCTTTTTTTTTTTTTTTTTTTTTTGAGACAGGGTCTCACTCTGTCACCCAGGTTGGAGTACAGTGGCGCGATCTCAGCTCACTGCAGCCTGACCTCCTGGGCTCAAGTGATCCTCCTATCTCAGCCTCCCAAGAAGCTGGGACTACAGGCATGCACACCACCACTCCCAGCTAATTTTCCTACTTTTTTTCATAGAGACAGGGTCTCACCACATTGCCCAGGCTGGTGTCAAACTTCTGGGCTCAAAAGATCTGCCTGCCTCACCTTCCCAAAGTGCTAGGACTTCAGGTGTGAGCCACTACACCTGGCTCTACGCTTTTTTTTTTTTTCCCTCTCTGCAGAGTAGGGGAAGGGTTAGATGGTCTTCTACCCTTTCACAGAGTGTAGCGGAACCAGACTATCCTCCTGAACCCCCACCCAGTCTAAGGAAATGAGAATGCAAAGGTAAGGTTACGGAAATTCCTCAA